GACCATTCGCGGGGCTCTCTTTAAGAGCACGGTCTGCGGTCATTTCACGAGAAAATCAAGTTTTTGTTCTTCGTGGAGAAGGTAGTGTAGACCGAAATGGACAACCTCGTACAAGTTTCGCGTCAGAAATTTGTACATAGGAGCATTAAGGAGCAAGAATTTTCCAATGCCTTTGCTGGCGCTGCTATCTGTCGTATCTGCTGTTTTGTTCGTTTGCATGCTCTCCCTTAATCAGGGCACGTCCTGGCGCTGGAAAAAAATTTCGGAAATTACGACCCCTCCTTATTCCCCTCACTGGTACGACCCCCCCCTTCCCCTTCCTAGCTACCACCTTCACCTTTTTAGATTTTCCCAACTTCCTACCACTTTTTCCAGTTTTTCCGAAATTTCGAGAAAGTTTTCCTACCTTTCCCTCAAAGTTTTGCTCTCGAGGCGGGGGTGGTATATAGCTTGGAAAGAAAAACGAGAAAAACCGCGAAAGGTCAATATCGAGAAAAAATTCCCTCAATGCCGCAAAGTTCTCTCGAAGGCGGATACGCCCGCTCCCTCCCTCCCCCCCGCTTATAGCGTCCATGAAACTACCATCGAAAAAATTTTCTGTGAAAAAATACGACCCCCCGTCGCTGGGGCTTCAGCAACGTACGACGTGGTCTGCTGTCGATCTTCTTGTCTAGCCTCTCTAGTCTCTCTCTCCCTCTTTCTCTTTCACTTCTCTCTCTTCTCTCTCTCTCTCTCTCTTCTCTCTCTCGAACCCCCCTACAACTCTTTGCCTCTCGCTTAGAATAAGGGCATAATTGGGACGTTTCAAGAGGTGTCTTCCACTTTTTCATTCACGGGCAAGTCGAGTAGCACATGGGCTTCCGTTTGCCAACCCTACTATATACAAAGCCACATTTCTCGAATGTACCTTCGAGGAAGTCGAGAACATTATTTTCTCCATGGTCAGCGCCTCCCCCCCAACTCTGGAGAATCGAGGTCGACTTTGCAAATTAGATCGGTTCTCATTCATAATGACTAGTAGGCTCTTTGACGGCACTGTTCGTCGAAAGAAAGTGGTAAAAGTCCGCTTGAAGACTCTGCTCAATGACATATTATCGCCGAAATAAACGAACGTCAGAGCGTACGGCCGTGGTCGGTCGTCACCGGGAGAGCGAGAATCTGTGTGTCCTTGAGTCGGTGCGACCGACCGCCGCTAGCACCAGATTGATATCTCAATCGCATTTATCGTTGTGGCCGAATGCCTGTTCTCGTTTCACTACATGATCGTCTTCATCGCCAATCCTCCCCTCCAGCTTGTGCCTGGTTTGATCCAATTTCGCTGGTGCTCTCTCTTCTTGTGGACTCAACGATATCACCTCATTGACCTCCTATCTGTTCCTAAGAGATCTTGGCGGCGCTAATCACATCAGTCGCGCGGCGATCAGCAATAACTCTCTTTTTATGCCGATTAGTGCATGTCTCGTACAGGAATGCTGAGCAAGCGAGTCAAGTTAATCTAAGAAATGCAACCAGGCTCAGTTGAAGGACTGATTTACTTTTGTCCATTTATATACCTTTTTCTAAGGAGTTTTCCGTGATGTGGAGGCTGAGTTTTTATTTTACTGCATTTGCATCTTGAT